ACGACTTCGACGACGACGACGGCCATGACGACGACGACTACAACAACAACAACAACAACAACTACTACTACTACTACTACTCCTGCTGCTGCTACTACTACTACTACTACTACTACTACTACTACTACGCGCAAAGTGGTCCGCTTGCGCGCGCACCTGCTCTGCGGAGCCGGGCTGGGCCTCGTTTTGCTGGCAGGCGCGTACCATTCGGCACATGGTCGGAGAACGGCAATCGACGTCCCAGTCTCGCGCACGAGCAACTCGCGTCTGAGAATCACAACTGTCTCGAGGATTCTGCGTGCGCGCTGTTTGCATGTTTGCTTGTTCTTGTGCCCGCACCTACTCTGATGATGATGATGATGATGATGACTCTGGGGTTTAGGGTTGAGGGTTTAAGGTGATGCTGATGATGATGATGACCCTAAAAGGAGTGGGTGGGTTCGAAACCCTCAACCCTAGAAGGAATGAGTGGGCGCGAAACCCTAAGCCCTAAACCCTAAAAGCGAAACCCTGAACCCTAAAAGGAGTGCCTGAAGCTGCCCCAGCTTGCTTGCGTCCATTACTCTCAAGGGGGGGGGCTCTGGCCTCAGGGCGTTTGGAACTCAGGAATTGATCCCCACGACGACAACCCCACGTGCAGGCTTCAAGACGCTGCATCTCAGATTTATACACTACTCCCAAGACATTGCAGGCCATCATGCCCCAGCGTATTGCGCCTCTTCAGCTCTGACGCCAATTCCTGCGACCCTCACGAAGAAGCTTGAGTGCCTACCATTCTGTATAGGACGCCCCACCCGTAGCTTCACCCCGCGTAATGCATGCAATTTGTGAGCCCTGCCATCGGGCTGGCGACGGCAAAGCAGCTAGATCTTGTCGGCCAAGACACCCCCATCAGCTCTGCTGTTCTCAAAGGAAACATGATCTCCGAAATTTGGCGAGCCTGCGCCGAAGCGAAAGCCACACAAATGGCACGGGCATGATAGTTTTGCAGCATGGGACACCTCGCCTGGAGACTCATTCCAGGTGCGTCCACGAACCTTCACCCGAGAGGGGATGCTTCGCCGGTGGAGAAACAGCGCCAGTGCTGTGACCAAGTTGCTGCATGATGTTCACCATGAAGAGGGGCACACCCAAGACCACCGATGCCTCTCGCAGAAAAAGCGCAGTTCTGAAATACCCGCACCCACAAAAATTCGAAATAGACTAAATACAGAAGGCCAAGCAGTTTCAAGTTATTCCATCGACTGTTCTAAGTAAGGCTTTTGTAGGTGGGCTGGACATGGCTGGATGACATCCCCCCTCTGTGGCGACTTCTTGCAGCGGAGTTGTAGCCACAGTATCCACTTGGCCGCGCGAGCAGCGCGAAGCTAAGTCCGACACCGGGACGTCGAGAGCCCAAGACACTCACAATCAGTCGCTCGTTAGACGACATAGGAACACAGGGGCAACCGGACAACGAGACGAGAGACACCACAAGGCCGGAAAACGACATGGGGAGACTGAAGGACACGCGCAGAAACAGTACGACACCCACACACCGCGACACGGGGACAACCAGACGTCAGGTGCAGCTCGAAGTTGCTTTTCAAAAGTCTTGGCTGCTTGATAGTCTGGATGCGGCCACCTGTTCTACTGTGGAGTGGACATGGCTTTGCAGCTCGATTTTTCCGTGAAGCGAACTCGCCACAGCTCGCCCAAAATGAAACCGATCGGCGCTTCGCTTGGCACCGTACGCACTCGCTGCCGCAGGTTCTTCTGCGCTGTGTTGTGCCGTAGTGCTAGCCGCTAGCCTGCATAGACAGCATCTGAGCCTAATTTCAGTTCCCAAGCTCTGCTTGCAGTACATTCCTTCTTACTTCGTCTCATCCAGATTCGCGTCGTGTGTGTGTGTGCCTTGTCTGTCGTCCACAAATCAAAAGGTTCCAGGGCGTCCATGCACATCCCACGCTCTGTTGTCGCCTGCGATTCGAGGGCTTTCCCTGGCAGTAAGTTTCATGGAAGCCCGGTGAGAAGATCCGGCATGTGATTGGTTCCCCTTTCGAAGCTTATTACACACGAAAAAAACAGCTTGTTTTTAAGTCTATTCTGGCGGTCAGCATAGTTCAGCTTAATGATAGATTACTGGCCCACTGGCCGGATGTCTTGCTCGTGCGCAATGGGCCAAGCCGATCTTTCCGCAAAAGCTGTATCTGCTTCAGCGGAGGGTACGGAGCCTCGCGCACTGGGTCACGACCACCAAGAACAACCAGAAGCGCTACCTGTCGTTAGCACAAGATGAGTCACAGACTGTCAAGGAGAGTGCGCACATCTCGAACCCCTGAGGAACCGACGCCGAACAAGTAGTCGGCAGCGACCAGAACCTTGTAAAAAAAACTGGCGTTTCTGGAAATGAGACACTGCTTCGCCTGAGGTTGCAGCGTACGCTATCCACCAATAATGCAGTGGGCGCATGAACGTGCAGAGAGCCTCACCAGCCACATGCTTGGCAGCGTCTGCCGAGTCGTGTCGAATGAATTGCTCCGAAGACGCTCGGACTATGACATGAAAGATGTCCACATTGTGATGACCGCTCTCAACTCTGTACTTTTGCAACCCGTCATTCGCAAGCTTCAAGCATGGTCCTGCTTGAAAACTAGACAGTCTTGCTTGAGCGATGTATCTACACGGTTTGGATGGCACATTCTCTGCCAGTGAGCAAGATGCAAAGCCACCTCGCTGCGTGCAGTCAACGGTCTCATCTGTGGCCGAATCTACATTCTACACGACTGCCTCCTGAAGCTTGCAAGGCTGGAACTGCGACCCGTGTAACAAAGGCGATCGCCAGCATTGTCAGCAGTCGCATGGAGAACTCTGCTGCGCGAAACCTGTCTCGAAACTGAATCATGACATACACAGTGCTCATGAAAGCCTTCAAAACTGGTGCAGGCGCTGAGTGCCGAGCGCCAGATGTCTAGAAGACGCAAGTGCAGACTCGTCGAGCACGTTTTGAACCTCACACAGTAGCTTCTGTGATGGTCGTCGAAGGAAAAAGCAGGAACTTACCTTCAGGTCTACTCAATAGAACGACCCATTCCGGGCGAGAGCAGATTGAAGTCCCATGTCTTGGCATGCTGAGGTTTCAGCACATGCAGATGTTCGATGGTCGATCTGCCAAGGCTAGCCACGCAACATCTGGAGGAGATACCGTTGCAGCCAAACCCAGACTCAGGCTCGAAGCTGCCCGGGCCTCCACCAAAGCAAGGCCCACATTCAGGATGCTGCAGAAAGCACCTTGCACCACCAAGAGCGGCGCAGGCAAAAGCAATGGCGGCTCGAACACTACCCGCGCCTATGTACAGGCACGGCGTGCACCAAGCCTGTCACTCTTGTCGTGCCGAGAGGGCAAATCAATCTCTCCCGGCAAGTGCAGGTCCTCCGTCTGAAGCTGCACAGGATTGAATTGCGGCCTTGGCAGGCAAGGCAGATCTGCACAGTTCAGTAGCCGAGAAGGCACTTATGAACCAACTCCTGTCTGAGCTTCCAAGTGTCCTACTCTGCCCAGCGGTCTTTGATCAACGCATACATCGAGACGTATGCAAAGACAGAACCTTCCAGCAGGCCGTCCATCGCCTCGTGCACCGTCACTCGACTTCCGCTTCCGCGTGGGTTGCACTTGCAACACAAGCACTTGCGACCTTGCTGTGGAATCTGGCCGGCATCATTGCGGGCACCTGAGGAAAGCATGGCAGCAGGGCGGAACTCACAAGGCGCACTCTGCATGCTGCTCGGTGCAAGGCTCTGAACTCCGATAAGTTTGATTCGATATCAAGAGATCGTGCTCTTCGTTTCAAATAGTCCTCGACCACATGCACAGCTTGCCGCATGTCCAGCAAATCGACGCATACGACCCTTCCTGCTCCCTCATTCCTGCATGAGCTGCTATCTCTTGGGACCATCCGCGGAACTCAGAGGAAACGGGCCGCATGTGGAACAGAACCCCCTCGCCTGCCTCGTAAGCCATACAGAGCTGCACGCCCTGCATGAGCCCCATGCAGATGACCTGACTCTCTTTCCGCCGCAAGAATGGGACAAGGCAATGCTGCCCGAGCGTGTGGCCATGATGAAGAAATTGATGAAAGGCACACAGCACCATCTCTTCCAGTCCTCTCAAGCTGACCTACGCCATCCTGACCACCCAACAGGTGTGACAGCAGCAAGCTGCAAAGGCTCCAGGCGAGTTGATGCCGTGTACGTGCAGAAGCATCCGATGATGAGGTGCCTTACAAGTGTGGCATGTGCAGGCTTGCCAACGGCACCTTCCTACAAAAATGAAATCTTCTGTTGTACGCGATGAGATTGATCCTCTTCAAATGCCGGCTAGTTCAATCATGCAGAAGTGTCCTGAGGAGACTGCGACAGGAGAAGAACATAGAAGTAGCGCGGATGATCCACAAGGCAAACCTGGGCAGGGAGAAGTTCTCGCTTCAGGGCTCTGCAGAGCGCCAGTCGTCACAAGCACCCAACGATCACCATTGTCAGGATGTTGGTGATGTAATCCGTTATGTGAAGCCTGCTTCGGCCAGCTTGGCGTGCTGCTTGCACTCCATGCTTTCTCGGCCATCTTGGCACGTGACTTCGGGTGTCACCAGAATGATCTCAGGCAGCCACATCACAAAGGACAAGTGCCGGAGTAGCTCCGCTTTCCGAGTTGACATCCGGGTGCAGAACAGCCTTCTGTCTCCAGGTGCTGGATCACCACACGATGGCACAGGGATCAGCGACGCAATACTGGCATAAGACCATGGCAGCATGCCCAGGACACAAAGGGTGCCGAAAGAAATCCTTGGATTTGCGGCAATACAGTATCGAAAAGATTGGCAAAGGCTGCTTCTTGGTTTTGCCTTGCCCAACATCCCTGCCTTGCCAGGCTCCAGTCACAAAGTTGAATGTCAGTAATGCGCTTGCCTTCCTACACCACCCTCTGCTAGTGTGTCGGAGTTGATCCGTCAATTCAGCCCCAAGGCCCAATGTGCAGCTCAGGATCCCAACAATGCAAATGATCCAGTATCCAAGTTCCGGCGGCCTGCGCTTGCGAAACGTGCAAGGAATGAATTCCTGGATCTTTCAGTTTTGAAGGCTCTAAGACCTGTAAGGACTCTAAGGGCCGTGCAGGTCCCTCACAACGGCAAGGTGGCGCAGCTCAAGCTGCCTGTTCTTCGACATGGCAACTGGTTCTGAGTTCTGTCTACAGCTGCGTACTGCGCGGCCTCAAACGTTCCACCAAGTCGGAAACAGGCCACATGGCAGAGACCCCGCGGCAGAAGCCGCCAACAGAGCTATCTATGGCCTGGCAGCGTCGCCAACAGCATACTGTGGATTGAAGTTCCTCTATTTCCTCCGGCTCGCAACTTTTGATTTCAGCATCTTGTGGCTTTCTCGGGCTGTGTTCCTGCTCATCTGTTACGCCAGCCTTTGGGGCTGCCAGAAGATTTGCTTGCTGTGTCTGCATCCACGAAGGAATACACATGCCATCCATGCGACGGTGCTGATGTTCACTAGTCACTTATGGGCCGCTCTGCTATGAATCAACCGTGGAGCTGCAAACATCGGCATGCGAGCATTTGGCTGGGATGTCACTCCGCACCTCGCTTTCCGCATGCTCAAGTCATCAGCATCGGTGTATCCCTTTTGCTTCCTCCTTCTGCTTCGTCACACGATCGCGATTCTACGGTTCTAACGCTAAGTGCGGAACGGTGTCGGCTCGCGGCCGACACCGTCAAACCAATCAATAGGGACCCGCGGCTCGCTGCTCGCTCTTCGTCGTTCGCAGCGCGCTCCAATGACTTCTCCATCTCCAGGCTTCCGGCCGGCAGCACAGCGCAGCAAAAAGGTGAGGCCAACGTCCGAATACGGCCTCAGCCTGCAGGAACCGGCGTAGCTGGCTCAAAGAAGCGGATCCGACGTTCAGGGTTGCTCCAATAGATCCGGCCCGTGCTGTCCTGCAAATGGCACTAGGCCCTGGGCATCCCCAAGCCCTCACGTTCCGTGACTTGTCTGCATCTTGGGACTCTACTTGCAAGTCCTTTCGTCGATGCCAGCTTGAGTCAAACTCGTAAAAGCCTCAGCACACATCAGTGGCCAGTCGTTGGCTTGTTTCAAACCTTGCGCCTGACCTCTCAGGACTGGACTGACACCCGGACAGTCTTCTCGGGATCGGCACTTCCAGAAAGCACCCTGGCTGTCCAACATTCGACTCCACGTCTCTTTCTGGTACCTATACGGCTCCGGCGGCGTCCAGCTCGACACCTTCAACAACGAGATGCTGCTGTGCTATGGCCAGGCTATGATAGGCTATGGCTATGGCTAAGACTTAAGAGGCAACCCGGCCCTGTCGCCTGGTGCTCGGCATCCCAGTAGAACTCACGACCGTTCTCGTCAGAGTACACAGCCCAGCCAGGAGCCAGAGAACGTGCCGGCTCTGGCTCCGACGGCTCTTTAGCTCTGGGCGCGGTCTCCGTGTTCCCGCAGCTCCCACTGCGATCTCGAGGCGCAGGCTCCGCAGGCTCTGCATGCTCCGCACGTTCCGCAGACTCCGCAGGCTCCGCAGGCTCCGCAGGCTCCGGCTCCGTTTGCGTTGGCTCGGGCTCAAGCCTGTTCATGGAAGGGGAGGGCTTCGAGGGCTTTGACGGGCTGGACGTGGCCGAAGGCACGGTAGAGGTCCCGCCATCGGCTCGATCGCTGCGCTTGGGCGACGTGGCTTCGTGAAGTTGAATATTCGCTCGGCATTGGGCACCATCAGCGAAAGGACTTGCAAAAGTAGGGCGCTGCCACTGCACCCTCAATGTTCTGAGGCCTGTTCTGTCGAACAGACAGCTCTCTGACGAGAAAATGAATGCACATGATTACACTAAACTAAACTCGAAGGTGTTTCCAGAAACATGCCAGTCTGCAGTAGTAAAATCTTCGACCATCGTCCGTCTCGTGCTCTTCCCAGTCATCGGGTAGAGCACGCATGTATTTGCCTTTGACGCAAATAGTCCAAGCACGCCATAAACAAGTTGACATGCTGACGGCTGGCTTGGAGACTGCGAGCTCGTACTCCGTGCAGATTTTGGGCCTTTGATCAAGGTGCGAGAATCTGAGCAGTCATGCTTGAACTGGCTCCGGGAAAATCCTTCTGCCAGCAAGGGCACTGCTCATTCCAGGATGCTCCCATTGCGGTTGTGCCGAGTTGTCCACCTGGGTCTCAACATCCCCCGTTGGATCCCAGAATACTCTTGAAATTTTGCAACCTCGGAACGTGCCAGTAGTATGCCTTCCCAGAAGTGGGGTCAATGTTTGATTGCCAGCCTTCTGGCAATGGGGTGGGCACACCTTGCACGATAGAGTGCTAGGCTGCTACGACATGCTCAAGTCGGCGGAGCTCTCGATTTGGCCGGATGAGCATCGCTGGGCTCCCTGCTAGCTGGCTTCACCTGCGAGTGCAGACCCAGTTGAGGCATATAGACAGGTGGGTTCGCAATTTGAAACATGTAAGCATCTGCCAGCACAAGGCCCAAGCGCGGCCACGAGGTATTTCGAAGTTTTTACCTGAGACGAGATTCCATGCAAAGGCTGGGCCAAGTAAAAACTGCAAACCATCCGTTAGTGAACCAACCAGCCAGGATGCGAACTACTATCTCACCTGTCTGCGTGTATTCAAGCTGATTCTTCTCCTCAGTGCGAATCACGACTTTCCACCCGCTTCGCAAAACTGCTTTGTCCAGGGCTCCTGGACAAATATGATGTCTTCCTTCGACATGTTACGCGCTTTCTTGACGTGCCTTTGGCCTTGGTTCCCACCAGGTATTCCGAAATGAAGTTAACAAGAGTCGCACACTGATCTCATCTGAGGCACCATGGATGTGCAAATACATCCTCGGCTGCATGACGGCTAGAGTAGAAACATGCTTGACAAGTGTATCGTCGCTCTTTGAGATATGTCTCTGGCTGACCTTGCTTGCTCTGGACTGGCAAAGGCTGCCTCAATTTGCGCTGGGTGGCCAAACTGTCAGACCAACGAAACGGCACATTCGGAATTCCACTTGCAAGAGAGTTGCAGACTAGCTCTTGCTTGTCATCTACGCCCTTGTCCAAGAGTATGTAATCAGGAAGGTTCCTCGCGACCAGATCAGGCGATCTGATCAAATTAATGGCAATGGCACCGTCTAGCCAAATTCAAACTTGCACACATGTTATTCTTTGGGTGGCGAGTGTCCACAGTCTCTCCAGTGGATCTTCTTTGATGAATCTCGGATCCGCTTGGGGATTCATCGCCTGCCAACTGAAGGAAGACTGCAACGTTGCAAATGTAAGAGCACTGCAGTGGAAACAAAGCTCGCATTGGACTGGTTGGCCCACATCAGTTCTGGTCCAAGAGTAGGTGCTGCTGGAATACGATTCGACTTTTGCTTGTGTGATGTGATTAACACCAGCCCCACGCGAAGGCGCATGCTTGCAACCCCCAGTTTGCGATCCTGAATAATCCGAGGGTCTGCTTGGTGAATCGAGGAGCATTATGCACATCTTGGAAAGATCTGACACACCACCAAAGATTCGCCTTCTGGTGCCCTTTGGAATTGATGTGAACTGTCACGGCTTGTAGATCTCAGGGTCTGCAGAAGGTGAAGATGCACTGCTGGATTGCAAATCACAGAGCACACATTCTGCCATGGAGCTTTGCAGCGTCTTCGTTCCACAAAGAAGGCATCCAAACTTGCCCTTGTCCACCCCGTTGAGGCCATCCTCATACGAAGCTTCTGGCTATTGTGGGCTGTTTTAGGATTGCTTCTGTTCTGTGTCCGAGTCGCACCAACGTAGATGTAGTTGTGCTCATGCTCCTGACGACACCCCGCGTCACTTGAACCTGCTCTGAGCTTCGAAGGCCAATTTCAGGCTAGGGACATCTGTCAGAGTTTCTTGCATTGCTTGGTCCATGCCCAATCTGGCACGAATCTTCTTCGCCTGAGAATCTTCAACACGAAGCGTTTGGCTGACTAGGATTGAAATTGCTAGGCCAGCGGCATGGTTGTTGCCCATGAGATGAGTTCGCACGTTGTCGGGTGTATTCATCGGGCCCTGATGGCAAAGCTGGCACCAAAGGCCGTCGTGGCGTTTCTCGATGCCTTGCTCGGCCCAACCTTCCTGAAGCCTTAACTGGCCTTCCACGGCCAAGCTTTGAACCTCCTCCCTCTTGTCAGGCAGCTCTTCGAGCTTCTCTCTCAAGAGGAAGGTGAAGTAGGCGTCTTCGGCGGCGTAGGTCACCTGCTCCGCCGTAAGCTGTGCCTGCGCCCAGTTGGACCGGGCGATCCGAGGCTCCTTGCGGATCCGGAAGCCAAAGCGCTCCGCCAGGCTCTTCAGACCCGCTTCCTTTAATCCTTTCTGCGCAGCCAATGTTGCCAGGTCTAACAAGCCTCCTGGAAGGAGGTTGAATGAAGTCCGCATCTTGTGCTTGTCGGCACTGTCGAAGCCCACACAGATTTTGATGCAGCTCTCCGATTCCAGCACTGACTGAATAAGGTCAGGAAGCCAGGACTGCGAGATGTGAGTTCTTACCAGCAAGGCAGTGTCTGCATCAGCAAACTGCATCAATGCAATCGGATTGTCCCTCTCCTTTCGGTCAGGCGGCCACTCTAAGTCCCAGCCCACAGCCTGCTTGTTCCGCAGCTTTTCCTCCAACCAAGAGGAGCCAGGAAATCTCTTTCCGCCTCCATCGATCTGACTCAGGTCGACGACAATTGGTGTTTTCGGAAACTTGTGATATATCACATCTTCATCATCCAACCTCCGACCATACAGTCTTCTGTGCATTCTCGCCGAAGACTGACCCGCGGCCGGCAGAACTGGATCAGAAGCCTTCTGCCATGATGGCCAGCTGGTATGCGACGTTCGTGGCTTCCTATACGAAATGCCTCGTTCAACGTGCTCTCTTATCGGTCGGAGTAGCAAACGAAAGCTTTCAGGAGAGGGTTGAGCGTTGGGGAGTTTAACAGGCTACTGCGCATGTGTGTTCCTGTGTACGGGCTGGATGCAGCCCGGTGGTTGAGATGTCATGGCTGAAATCCTTTGCAAACTTGCAAGTCATCGTGTCTGCTTGCTCTGGCCATTCCACACTACGCCCACACAAGAGGCGGATCGGTCTTTCAATCAGCTTTGCTGTCCTGCTTGCATGTTTAGCTCAGGCACCGCAATGCATCTAAACAGGCTCCCTTGAGGAGCCACATGAAGGCATTAGCAGCGGCCTCCAGCGACATAACGCTGCTTGTAAGCCTATGCTGTCAGCAACACGTCTTCCTGAATTTTCAGGCTCCGAGAATGCTTGTGTCGAATTCTTGAAAGCTCTCTTGCTCCTGACAGGCAAGACACATGCCAACATGGAGCCTCTGATTCCGTCACGTGCCTTTGCTGAGATAGCTGGCGCAGAAGCTTCTGTGCTTTCGGGATACCTGCACCGCGTGACAAAAAGAGGCCCAAACAGAGTCATGAGGGGCTAGAGGGGCTATGGGCGGTTGTGCCTGTCAAACATTGAGGTGTCATCCTCCGATTGGACAGGAGGACGGAAGGGTGGTGCGACCTGCTTCGACTCCAAGAGCCACCGCAAAAAGGCCCTGGCTCTCCAGCGGTCAAACAGTCCCAGGGCAGTCCCAGTGGCGCTCCGAGTGAGAAGTAGGTCCCAGTCCATGCCCTCAGAGTGCAGGCTGTGCGCACAGTGCTCACAGCAGAACTCGCAATGAGGCACCTTGTACCACTTGTGTTTCTTCACGTCTTCGACACCCGCCCTGCCAGATTCTCCGCCACGGAAGACGAAACAGCTCCAGAGCACTTGAGGCTCGGACTTGAGGCAGCCCAGACGCTTCGACCTGTCCTGCTGCAGCAGCCGTTGTATAAGGTCCTGTCCAAGTAAAACTGATCCAAGAATGGTACACAACACGCTGCCATGCCATCGGGCCGTCGGGGTCCTTGGCTTTGACATCGAAATGGCGCGGAAAGTCCACGTGACCTTTCAGCACCTGCAAGATCAAGTCGAGCTCTGCGCTCACTGCGTACTTCGCCCTGGCTCTCAAAGAACTCGGCATGCTGCGGTCTGCCTTCTGATATATGCCATAAGGGTTTTCGTCATAGAAAGGGGGATATCCTGCGCTGATGCTCGAACACATGCCGCAAGCTACGTCGGAGCAAGCGTGAAGCTTCCTGCCAGCATCTCATACAGCAGGACGCCCAGGGCCCACCAGTCCACTCCCTACGACTTCTCATGCGAAGCTGCTTGGTAAAAGACACCCGGGCAGAAGCGCGGAAAGGAAGCCTTACCATGACCCTTGGACTGGATCATCTCGGGAGCCAGGTACCTGGCACTGTGACCAAATGCGCATGCTGGCGGCCTTCCCCAGTGCGCACTCGGGCGTCCCGCAGAGTGTCCAAGTTCTTTCTTCCACGACCTGCTCGGGGAGGCCATATGAGGCCAGGAACGCGAGCACAGGCTCAGCTTCTGCACACTCTCCTGACCAAAAGCCCAGGAGCTCGTAGACCCCTCCGAAAGCCTCCGAAGATCCCACTCCCATCCACTCCCAACGTTAGCTTTAGGCTTCGAAGGCTGACCTCAAGGCGTCGCTTTGAGATTCAGACACCGTGCCTTGGCAAACCCGAAGTCCGTCAATTTGATGTGCCCTTCGAAGTCCAGGAGCGCATTCCTTGTGCAGGGCAGACGTGCTCAGGCAAGGCCAGAATCGCTTCATGCCGTGAAGAATCTCAGGCTTCAAATCTCGATAGACTACGTGAAGGCTGTGAAGGTACCTCGGTCATTGCCAAAGGGTGAGGTCGAGGATCACTCCCAAAACATGCAGCTTTCCACACAGAGGCGCGGACCCGAACGCCAGCAGAATCTCCTTACAAGCACCCATCGCACTATCTTCACTTCTTGGCAATGGAGCCCTTGTTTCGCGACGTGCTTCTGGATTTCGGTGAGACAGCAACCAGAATCAACAACAAGCCGTTCTCATGAGACAGCCCGGCTGCCGGTAAACCATGCTGAACCCTTCCAGAGCGACGCAATCCTCAATCCCAAACGAGGGGCCCTTCAACCGGCAGCCCTACAGATAGATGTGTTCGAGAAGACTGAAACAGCAAGCTTGCGGTGGAGTAAAACATTGAATTTAGAGGCTACCGTCTCAAGGCCAGGAGGCAGGCCGAGTGTCATTCCCTGAGCTCCACAAACCGAGGCCTGACGAAAGTCCTAAATTCCAAAACAACGGCGAAAAAGCAGTCACCTAGGTGCAAAAGCCTTTCAGCTGAAGCTCTTCCCTTTATTTGGTGAGGGTTGCTGTCGAAAGGAGCCTACGAGCTGCGCACACCACGAGGTCAAATGAACGTGACGCCTGAAGGACTCCGGGTCTTCGGGTTCAAGGCTCAAGCATTCACCGACTCGGATGCGCGGCTAAAGGATTGGATGCGGGTGAGGCACACCGGAGTAGAATCGAACTTGGTCGTTCGGAAGACGTCCTTCTCTGCGCAAGTACCTGAAGGATTCCATGCACAGTACGAACCTCACACTGGCGTTCTGTCTGTCCCTTGTTCGTCTTTTCTCCTCAGCCGACTTTGCAGCTGGCCTAGCTTAGGCCTCAGGAGCCAGGGCGAGCGTCCACGATCGGAATCCTGCAGGGCTCCAACAGCAAAACAAGGCCACACGGACAGCAAAGGCAGGCCTGCAGTCTCGGATGAGACCGTTGATTGCGACCTCTGCATGCTCGGATGGCATCCGGAGGAATAGAGATCCCTGCCGACGGCCGGTGTCGTTGCGAAGAGCTCTCTGTTGCAGCAGAAGCATGGCGCGCCTCTTCAAACTCCAAGCAAAGTGTGCAGAGACGCCTGAGAATTTTGATCTCGAATATTCAAGGGATGCGACTGTTCGGCCGAGTCTCCCAGAAAACTCTCGCACAACTCGGCAGATGTCACCTTCAGTTCTCTCTTCGACGATATCTGCGAGTTTGCAGATGGCGGAGTGGATCTGAGCCCGGGTCTCAAACGGAAGCGGACATCCTTGGAAACTTCCAAGATCCGGCAATTGAGACACCAAGTGCTCTGCCTGAAACCTCAGCCTCCAACACCATGAGCGTGATCCGACTTGGATGGGGCAAGGTCCAAGTAGCTGCTTCCAGGCCTCTGCATATAGTCTTGATACTGCTGCATGTGGCAGCAGCCTCACCTCACCAGCAGCCGCATGGGTGCCCAGGAGTCTGCCAGAGCCGCGTGTACCGGCAGTCCGCTTTCCTGCTTTATTGCGGTGGTTCAGCCACATCGCAAGCTGGAATGGGATGGGACATTTTACGACCTTGAACTCTCGGCCTCGAGCAGACTTACCGGCAAGGGCGCCTGCGGTCCCACCGCTTCCGACGCACCTCGCCGAGTAACCTTGGGCCCGGGCGGCTTCGACTTCCACAGCCCTGCTCACGGGGCTGCCTCAGAAACCGAGGCAGCGCCTTTTCGAGTGCAAAGTCGAGAGCCGAGCCGAGGGAGGCGCTTGAAGGGTTCGGAGCCCGTGCAGGTCTCTGCACTGGTGCGGGCCTGGAGCCGATGCCAGAAAAAAGCGCTCAACAAAAAGGCTGGCGTGGGGGGGTCCTGAAATGAAGAGGAACCACCAGTGCATCTGCCAATTCCGCTGTCTCTGGCTCAACCAGATCATCCAGCTTGATGGCAATATTGTCAACTCTCTGCAGGAGTCTGGCTGCAGCGCCTTCCAACCATGAAGTCGCCCACGACGAGTCGTTGGTCTGTGAAACAGCTGTTGTCTGACCGTCAGATTCATGTGTTTCCCTTTCCTTTCGCAGTTGTGTCAGCACGGAAGCCAGGAAGCCATTAAATTCACCCAGTCCAACACCTTTCTCGTGAACGGTCGCTCCGAACACTTCTGAGATATTACTCATCGTCTCAGGGGCTCTGGCCCCGAAACTGAAAATCAGCCGTTGAGTCAGTGCATACAACTGTGTTCGTGAGATGCTCAGTGCGTCTTGGTTCACATTCAGGCCGACCGCATCTATCATCATGGCCTTGCAAACACGATCAAGTTCCGAACGATCCCCCAGAAACTCCTCAATCTCCAGTGGCACATCGGTCGACGCCACCACATTGCCAATCTCGCTCAGGTCATCATCGCTGATACCGCTGTGAAGAAAAGCTGCTTCCAAGATCTGACAAATCTTCCATCCAGAAGACTTGCTCAGGTCGGCACACATTCGCCAGCTAGCACCGCTGGGCCATGGCTCTCGCGTGATATTCGTTCCAGCGAAACTGATGGCAGCGAAATCAAAAGCTTGTGACACCATGGGTCGTCAGTCATGACACTTAGAACACATGCAAGCCTGCAAGCCGAAGTCTCTGTTCCTACAATCCTGCCGGGCTGGCCACACCCTACACGAAGGCAATAGTTTTGGGTCGGGAAAGACCGGATGCGCACGAAAACAGCTCGCCGCCGTTGACGTACTCCAAAAGCATGAACAGCCGCCTCTCGTCCTGGTGGCATTCTTATGCGATGCCTGCTTCGCAAGCGACGTTAAGCAAAATAGGCCTTACTTAGAGTTGCAATCAGGAAACAACACGGCGTAGACCACCCTTCCATGCAGAACCGTGTGAAGCGACTCGCTGACGTCACCCCCCGCACATCCGAAAAGTATGGAAGCAACGATTCCAACGACGGGATGGAAATCCCTTAAACCCGAAAATACTGGACAATCGATGACAGGCGGCGGGAAACCCCGCAAAGTCCAAACCTTCAAAGCAGCAAGTCTCATCGAGTCATGAGAAAAACTTGGTCAGTGACATCCTCTAATGATGCGAAGGACTGATGGCCGCGAAATCCAACACCATCCAAAGGGCTCGGCTGACAAAGAAAACTTTAATCGCAAACCTTGAGCCGTCACAGACAGCAGCAAGTCAAAGAGGCCACATGGCTGGCGAATCCTCCTACATCCAAGACGACGCCCGGAAAGCTCCCACATCCAAACACTACGATTCGCGCCGGGAAGACACAGCTGATGGCTGGCAAGCACCATAGCCGAAAAACGAAATTGGATGGAACGTTCGTACTCGCGGGGTCAAAGCACATGGAGGAAATTCTCATATTTCCAAAACAGCTCCATGTGGCAGATTCCCACGGTGGGCAAATTATCATTCCTGAGTTGAGTGACGCAACGGAGCAAATTCGAAGCAGAAGAACTCATGGCAAAAGACACCAACTTTTCCCCTGCCACAAACGAACGCCGAGAAGGCTGTTCGAAGGTACCGGAAACGAACGAGCATTGCATGGCTGAGGCAATGATGCATTTTCAACTCTTGCTCGCCAGTGGTCTGCACCCGACAACACACGAAAGCTTTCAGAATTCGCATGTCAAATATCATGACAAACTGAAACGTACAATGGTTCAAAAGCATGCATGCCCGGCAGGCCTCCAAACTAAACCTCAAACCCTAAACTGGCAGGGCAGAATGAACTGTATTGGGTTCGGCGAAAGAGCGCCGAAATGAGTCGTAAACACTCAACATAGGTAAACCCCAAACTCTCGGAGTTGGCCGCTGATGGCAAGCGGTCATGGCAGGAAAACCGCCAGCAGCAGAGACTCCAAAACACCATGATTCCAAATTCAAATGGATGCTCAAGAGTCAGAAGGCAAGCAAAATCGCGCAGGTCATTCCAAAGCCCGAGAAAAAGTCGCTCACCAAGCCAAAAAATCTACACGTTAAACACTAAAGTCACTACAACACGTGTGGGAACGACTGATTGGACATCCTGCAAACCCGTAAGGGCCGGAGACTCGATGACAGCCGGCCGACACCAAACTTTAAACGACTCGCAGCTGGCACCAGATCTATGGCGGGTGAGCCATCTGCACACCGAGCAATGGCTCCACAAGCCACTGAACCACCAGCTCTCGCCAGCCTAGCCAAGAGCAAACTTGGTCGGGGGAATCTTCCACCTCAACGGCTACAGATGGGAAGGAGTGCTGGCCGGTAAATCCACAACACCAAACCCAACACCTCACGCATGAGCCAATCTGGGAAGATGCAGCTGATGTCTGGCAAACACCACACCTTAAACCCGAAATTGAATGGAACGTCCTCACGCGTAAAACCAAACCGAGCCGAAATCCCAGTTAAATCCCAAGCCATGGAAAAGTGATGCAACGGCTTCGCGCGCACGCCAAGCAGCGATGCAAAGTGAAGGAAGGGTGCGGTGCCCGGGCAATTCCAAAGCCGAAACGGCGATGACTGGCAGGCTCTACGAAAAATCCGAACATCCAACTCTCCGAACCTCCAAACAAGCTGGGGAAACCAAACGCAAAGAAGGTCTATCAAAATGAATGAGTGGAATTGCGTCAAACCCGAACATGCTGGACACTCGATGACGGTTTGCCGTGCAAGCCAAGCTTGACACGACGCATCAAAACGAAACGACAAACTAAATAAACCTGACCGAGGAAATCTTCTAGCCCGACGATGTTCAGCGGCTAATGCTGCAAAGGAGTGCTGGATGGCAGATCCAGAAAACCCGGGCCGGGAACTATACCCGACCAAATCGAAAACCCCAAAAGCCAGAGCTGCAAAGGCCAATCTGGGAAGACGTCCAGGCATTGCCCAGCACGTTGGCAACGAAGCCTGAACTATAGCGACATACGAAACCTTGAAGCGGACAACCATTCAGCCGACAAGGAAGGGCGCATTGACAGATCCCAAACCTTTGATGGAGTTGGCCGCCAAAGACAAGAGGTGATTCCAAGCAGCAGAAGCCCAAAGTCCAGCCTCTAAAACTGATGGGAAAGAGCGGTGCAGAGACTGATGGCTGGCAATCCCGACCTTTTTGCAAAGCAGACTCCAAACGCAGGAGGATTGGAAAGCACTGATGCTTTGGAGGGGCTCCATCCTTGGCCGCTCTTAAGCCCGGGACGGCAATGATTGGCACCCCCGCACAAATCCCAAACACCAAAAGGCCCAAAGACAGCTTAGGAAACCCCAAACAAGGACAACCCAAACAACTGGTTAGCAATCCTCAAGGCCTTCAAACCCGAAAATGCTGGCCACTCGGTGACGGCAGCAAACACGAATAGCCTCGCAATTGGCACAACATCTATTGCCTGCGAACCCAACTGTACACGTCTAAACCATTAAAGAGCCACTTCTCGCCTATCCATGACCAAACTTGATCGGGGGAAAGGATCTTGAAATGGGAACGGTTGCAGGAAACTCTCGAACGCTGACAGCAAACTCAGCTGACAAGACAAACTTAGAGCGAGGCAAGGACATCCTTTGAAGAGGATGGCAGATCCTAAACCCGAAACGGGGATGACTGCGCGACCCTAAACTAAACACCCAACCCAAAACGCAAGGTAAGACGTAGCTGATGGTTACCCAGCAACACGGCTTAAACCCGAGGTTGGATGGAACGTTTCCAGAAGCTTCCGCGTTGGAGGAGCTAGATTGAAGAGGCTGAGCAAAGAAGCAAAAGCAAATGCCAGAGCAAAAAGTCTTGATGGAAGGGGTGGAAGGCATTGCTCAGCAAGCCCCGGCAATCAACCACCACATCCTCAAGCGAGATCATAGGCAAAGGGGCAAAAAGGCCAACATCCAGAATGGATGGGAAACCCTAAACCATCCAACGGAGTGGGCACCAGCAAACCCCAGACGAGGCAAGACTCAAGAAGCAAACCTGGCCATGAAAGCCTTGTGCGCAATCTCAAAACGTCCTTGTAAAGGTTGGCCGGCAAACGTCATAAATAGGGGAACTCACAAAGCTACCGCATGCACTGCATAATCAAAGTGCTCCCTTTTCTCCAAGAATGCTCGCTGGAAAAACCTCGCTGGCAAGCCCGAAACTGTCGCAGGAGGACTCCCACACCAAAATGCGATGTGCAGGTCGGGTGCCGTGGCAGGCAATCCCAAACACGATGAGTGGCAGACTCCACGAACAATCCCAATACCCAACTCTCTGAACCTCCAAGCAAGCTGGGGCAACCAAGCCCCAAAGAACGCTAATCAAAATGACTGGGTGGAAATCCGTCAAACCCGAAAACATTGGACATTCGGTGATTGGCCATGCGCAAGCCAATGCCACACCACGCAGTACATTCAGGAGCAGGCAAGCCGAAAACCCCAAATCCGGAACTGTAAGAGCCAGTCACGCAGCAAGCTTTCCGCTGTGGGCAAATTCTAAAGCGTAGCTTCTGCGGTGAGTA